ATGAATTCAAACATATCGGTTACATCAAATACAGTTCTAACAAAATGAAATGAAGCAACATTTAAAGTAAGATTGAAAATGTCCTTTACGGATATGTGTACTCAACTGTTTTGCATCTGCATGCAGCTGAATAATTGCTCCAAGTCTCTCTTTTAGTGCTCTTTGCATTTCTTTGTCCTTATTAATCTTATTCAGATTTTCCAGTTCCATTTTCATATCTTTAACGAATGCTATCAATATATTGCACGAACCAAACGGTATAGCCAATTGGCCAATGTCATGATTGAGCAATGTATATGTAACTCCGGTTTGAAGAAAAATGGTAAATAAGTACCCTAATGGTGTCCTCCAGTTGTAAGGCTCACTTTTTGATAAATAATACTCATGGATAAATCGTTAATAAAAAAAAAATATTTATTGGACTCACGTAGCGTAAAACGGTAGTTCATAGTCCTTTGGTTCAAAATCCCTTGAAAAATAGGCGTGTAAAGTGAGAAGTAGTTTTGGCAAAATCAAGAAATAAATGGTTGCAGAACCGAAAATTTTTCTAAGTAACACAGAGAATTTCTCATTAATTTCATTTGTATGCTCGAAAATTTCTCTGGACTCTGGATTTGATAGTCCTGAAACAAATATTATATAGTGTAATATTATTATTATTATATCATCCAAATTATAAATAAATAAACTAAAAAAGAGATTATGATAAGCAATGATATGATAGAAAGATCTAACTAATGAAGCAAATGGCTGTTCAATAATAATGAAGAAATTGATGGCTTTGAGCTGTGAGGTGTTTATGCAGCAAAGAAAATCGTTGACTTGAATTTAATGTCAAACATGAAACTCTTATGAATACGAAACTTTGAATAAAAACTAATATTGGCATATACTTACGTGCTTGAATTGCATTTTGAAAAGTATCAACAAGCTTGAACAGCTTATTTGCGTTCCATGTAATAATTAGGAAATCCGAAAGTGAAACCATTATTGTGAGTAATGCATATATTGCTTCCGCATATTCTTCAAATGCGTCGGCGTCAATGCACAAAAATGCACTCGTTGCAATAAAAAAATGAAAAAGAAAAAAGAAAGCTGCAAGCGTTTTAAGATTTACCGGTTTATATTTTTCAAACGGTTTAGGTCGGCACACTCCCAAGTATTCGTATAGTTCTAGACATGTTTGAAACAATTTCATATTGAACTTGTATGATTCCAAACGATATCAAACGACAGCAGAACAAAAACTGTAGTTGAACTCAGTTTAATTTTCTTTTTATAGAGGATTTTACACAGAGGACTTCCGAGAAAAAATTATAAAGTATATAATTTGATGTAAGAAAGAAAAACAAAACGATTCTCCGTGTAATGCCATAATAGCAGTGGTATAAAATATTTAAAATTGATGAATGAGATGTGAATATTGTGTTTAAATTTGTATGAACGAATGCATAAATGCCCCTAGACTTCAATCATTTCATTATTACTTTATTTATTTCACATTTGAGTCTAGGGCCTTGTGTCCATGAACTAAGAGAACAAAGAGAGTGGCACCAGGTGACACCAAGTATACGACAATTTAACCAGCTGCAATGTGTATGGATTGCATTCATCGATGACATCTACACACAAAAAACACATAACAATTTTTTGTGCGCTATACCGAGTCTCCGAGAGTTTCATATAAGCCTGCCATGTAACAGTAGAAAATACAATTGAAAATATGATTTTTTTTTTCACTTTTTGTGTGCATTATACCAAGTCTCCGTGAGTTTCAGAAATACACAAAAAAATCGTGTTTTCGACTGTCTTTTTGCTGCTACATGGCAAGCTTAGTCTCGGAGACTTGGTATAACGCACAAAAATATTGAAAAAAAATTTGTTTACTAAAATTTATCCAAAAATAAATGAGACTTCGGATAAACTGAATTTTATGTCAAATCGTCTCATATTGACGTTAGGTGTCTTTCGTATCAATGAAATATTTTGTTAAAAAAATTTGCCAATCGACAAATGTATTACACCCGTTAGTTCGTATACTATTTCCACAAATTAATATTTAAGAATGAGAAATATATTGATTCATCACTTTCTTAATACTTTATTAATAAAGTTTTCGGTACGAATAAAAGAAATAAAAAATTTCATCAATAAAAGTTATGTAGAATCTAGAACGTGAGATTTCTCGCATAAGTCCATAGAGATGAGTTGGAATATAGTCAATTAATTATAATATAGTCAAGTTTTTTTTAAATTTCACTCAACGTTGTCATCCGTTTCAAATAAATTATTGTTTTTTTTTTTAAGTATCATAATCATATAAATGTATATTCTTGATGAGAACTACTATATTACTTTCTTCTCTTCTTTACCAGGAAAAGACAACTTGGATACTTCTATTATGAATGCACATATGAATGGGGTAGAATAAAAACTACTTCTCGAAAAATTGGTATTTTAAAACGAAACCTAATTTCAATAAAAAGTGAATCAATTTTTTTTTGTCCATTTGAAGTGAATCAAGAAAATTTTGTTCAATAAAAGTGAACCAAAAAAAAAATTTCACTCGGTTGATTCAGTGTAAAATACACTAAAATGAATTTTTTTTGGGTTCACTTTTATTGAACAAATTTTTTTTGGTTCACTTCAATTGGACAAAAAAAAATTGATTCACTTTTCATTGAAAGTTTTTTTTAGGTTTCGTGTTTAAACATTTTTCGAGAAGTAGTTTTTATTCTACCCCATTCATATGGACTTATTTTTTATCAGTAATAATTCAACTCGCCGGAAAACTTTGAAATAAAAACAAAATTTGAGTTGATTTCTTGTAATCGATAGTCAAATATATGGAAATATGTTCGTTGTTTCGTCGGTTTTTTTTTTAATTCGAAAATGTTCTTCCAAAAATTGTTCTAGTTTTTAATGATTTAGAATTAATTACCTTATCGAATCATACGATTTTCCGTTCAAATGAGTTTCACAGGGCAGTGAGAAACCTTTTAAAGAGCTATCTCCATGAAACTGTTAGTGGTTTTAAATTCATTTGAACAACTACGCTTCAATGGATATGTAATTGAAAAAAAGAAACACAATCGTCATGTCCACTGTGGTGTCAATATTAAAAATACGTATAATTGTTGTTGTCGTTTTGTTGCTGTCGAGATTCACACAATAAAATTCTAGCATCCGTTCACTTATCAAGATGAGTTTAAAAAAAATCATCAAACGAGTTTGATTAATTCAAGAGCTGGATTCATTTTGAAATCTTTTACAAAGTGATATTTTCTCTAAAAGCATTTAAAACATTTTTTTCTGGGTTTTTATTCATTGGCCTTTTAACTTTTCCGTCGCTTCCATTCTGTTTTCATTTCGCCGCGTTTTTTCCCACAAGGCAACGCCTTTTACAAAACGTTAATGCAACACAAACAAATTAACTGAATAATAAAACATAGAATTTTACTAACGAAAAACATCTTTACTTAATTGATGGCAGAGTGAGGAACTGTCGACGGATATAGTTTTCAATCTAATATATAAATAGACAGAAATTTATTTTATCGAAATTCGATGCAGAATTTCAATTTTGCCCTCTTTTTTATATGTTTCCTGTTCCGCGCATCCAAAGAATGCTAATGGAAATGAGATCACAACATTAAAATTCCGAATGACGTGATAACCGATTTCCAAACTTCTATTCGAGTCTTCAAGAAAGGCGATCCGTTGTTGTAGAGCATTAAAAATTCATTAGCTCCTTCACTAAAGCGACGTGAAATTGTTGTTACATTGAAAAATAATATCAGTTTTCTGCATAGAATGTACAAATATATTACGAGTGGATGTGATTGTGAATGCGGATGCAACAATGTTCAATGCATGAAAAAAAAAAAAGAGTGGCGAGTACAGTTCCAATGACGATAGTTGCCCGCGTTATATGTTTTGTGTGATGTAATGTCACGTTCAATAGAACAAACGTTTATGGCGATGAGCACGCTTGAGTATGTATTCGTCATTAAAAACGAATCGTTTCGTGTGTGTTATTGTTGTTTTTTTTCGCAATGCATTCAAAATGTTATTTTTAAAAATGGATTTCAGAGATTTGTTTACAAAAACTCTCACTCACGAAATATTCATTGGGCTTCGCCCTTCTTTGTGCCTCCACTTTATTTGTGTTTGTCAAAAATAACAAGAGCGCGCTCGAGTAAAATGACGAGAGAGCCGCACAAATGTACATGATTGGTGTGTATATGTATGCAATACACATTGAGATCGTCTGAAGTAGATACACTTTTCACTGATTCTATGCGAACGATGATGCTTGAGTCGAATGTGTGTGTGACACATCTGGTGTCAACGTATTCGACATTTCGACAAAGATCTTTTAATTTTTTCGTCACATCAGCGAAACATCGTGGGCCAGTTGATGATCAGTGCGCCGAACGATCGGTTTACGTTACTTTATTCAAAAAAATTTCGTAATTTAAAATCGGACGAAAAAAAACTTTAATTTCACTTCGTTCAATACGGTATGGTATACACGTGATGTTCATTTTTTTATAATATGTGCATTGAATTATCAAGTTGACAAAAGAGATTAGATTTTTTTGTTTATCAAAAAGTGTATTTGAAATTAAGCGAGAATAATTTTAAGCAAATTTTCTCGATTCATTCAAAATGAGGCAATATTTAATACGCAATTGACTAGTGAAACAAATAAAAATTGCCATTAAAATCCTTGAGTTCATTCATATATTTGAAAAACTGAATGTTTCAATAGGCAGCATGAATGGCAGCCAAATTTATCGATATTTAAGTGCTTGGATTTCATAAACATTCAACAAAGTTGGTTAACATTCAAAATATACAGACGTCAAATATTTTCAGTAAATACAGTGAAAAGTATTTTAGTGCACATTCTTCTCGACGAAAATACTTTCGCTCATTATTCAATGGGAATGAGACAATATTTGCAAAGAATTCAAATTTGTTTGCTCTATTGACTCTCAAACGAAGTTCATATATTTGAATTTGCTCAAGTATCATCATTTATTTGCAACGAAACATGCCAACGATATGGCCAGGCAAGGAATTCAATAATGTAATTGGATGTATTCAATTAATAGAATTGATGTATAAAAGCTCCTATATGCAACCAGATGATTTATAACTAGTCAAATGGATAGCTGTATTCGATGTATACAATAGAGTGAAACGGAAGCTCATTTTACAGATAATATATTTATTGGTAAGGACCGTACGTGGAAGCGAGTAAGTGTTCAATCATGCTGCAGCAAGTTTTAGATTCAAATCGAGTAGCAGGCATCCTCCTTTTTGAAAATATGCTCCACTAAACTTAGTCTAAGATGATGCATCGGTAAATATAAGTAAAATATTGTACCGCTTGAATTCTGATTTGCGTTGTGTAAATTATGCGACTGTAAAATGAACAAAAAAAATCCATTCAACATTTACCTCAATTATTGAAACAAGATACTTGTGTGTACGTATTTGATTTGAAATTGGACTCAATTTATTTTATCACGAGTGCAATAAGAAAAGTGCATCAACATTAAAATCAGCAGATGGAGGAAACCACATTCTGGTATTTCAAACACACACACACCAATCAAGTTTATATTCTGTTTGTTTCGAATCGATAGAACATTTTGTGCACAAAATATACATTGTAAAACACTTGAGCGTTGAAATTTATCTCCATCCTCTTAACCGAACGAAGAATTTAATGAAAAGCATTTTCACGATAAAGATTAAACCGACCGAATGGTTAGCAACCGAGAGGAACCGTCTCAACAGGAGAGAGTGGGATTGAGGCAGAGAGAATAAGTGGAAAAGAAGACACAATGAGACTAATGACGGAACATTTTCTAACAGGAATTAGTTCGCCCGATTTTTCCCCGCATCCATCGTCGTCCTTGGCCGTTGTTGAGCCATCTGAAAAGAATGACTGGAAATAGAAAGGAAAACGCATCGAAACGAAAATGTTTAAGTTAAAATGTGAAAATAAATAAATGTGCACAGCACGCGATTATTGCACTTGTTCAACATTGCCCTACGTATTACAATATGATTGGAGTCGAAAGATTGTATATATTAATGCCATTTCGTGCGATGCAATTTAAGCAAATGAAAATACGATATACACTCTACACCAACACTGTCCGGATTTAAGCTAGAGAAAGAGAGACGGAGAGATACGGAACGAAAATCGAAAGCAAACATGCATTTACAGCCCTCGTTTCGAACGCATGCCACAACATTTTCAACATCAACAACAAAAATAATAATTAAACGAGCGCAGAAAAAAAAACCGATTGCATTGACACACAACTTTACAAGCATAAGCACATACAGTTGCCGAGTCAGTAATGTATCGCGTGCACACATTAATTAGCTGTATCAAGCAATCTTGGTTGCTTTTCCATCGTAAATCTTCAAAACTCTTAAACTCATTTCAGTTTTTCGCGTACTGAAGAAAATGATCGCGGCAAATGTCGACCGTGCATTCAACATCTAGATTCACGAGTTTCTGCTAAACAAGGATTTAAAATTAACATACACAAAAATACAACAACAGCGCACGATAATCGAAAGGCCTCAAATTCTAAAAATGAGTCTCTATTTATCATCGAAAATACGTGGATTATTAGTAGATCCATTTCAGGTTGAAAATAAGAAAAATTGCCGCTTTCCCCTTGATTCACTTAGTATTTTCCTGATTTGCTCGATAGAATGTGGGAAATTCACAAAATATTCTCATTCTTAACGGGGAAAAATGTGATGTTTTTTTTGCACGAAAAGGCTAAAATTAAAAGCAACGATGACACTTAATATACATATTTTAACATATTTGAATGTATCTACAGTTCTACACACATATCTGAAAAAAGTCGAAAAACATTTCTCATGTAAACTTTTTTTTTCGGTGCTATATTTAGTTTAGCAATTTATAGGTGTGTATGTGTTTCTTAATATTTTTTGCGCGCATATGTGTCACCGCATCAATATCTCAGAGAGTATGCGAACGAAGAAGAGTCAACAACAAACATTTCACAAAACAAAAACGACAACGGCAACAACAACGTAAGCAGCGGCGGCAACAGCAGCAACCAAAGCATTAGCAATTGCACAAGAAGTTAGAAGAAACGAACATAATCATAATAAATGAGCAATATCCCGTATTTTTCTTCGTTCGGTTTGTGGATGTGAAGATTATGTGTGTGGTTTCGAGGTGCCATGAATAACGGTGAGATTTTGCGGTTGTCGCCCGTACAGTATCTTTTTTTTCGTTCGCCTGCTCTTCTCGAACGCATCACCACACAATTCAAAATGACAACTACTCTGTACATATGCGACAATTTTACATAAAATGCGCATATATACGCTCTTTCTGCAAAATTAATGTCATTATCCATTTGAATTCTCACCGAATGGTTTCTCAGGAATATTTTAATCTTTTGTGCAAAGCAAAGAAGATAGATTTTTGTTCTTGCAACACCGAAGTTTAAAAAGAAAAAAAAAAAAAAACAGAATCATATATGATGAGCACAAATTTACAGAGCAAAATGTCAAAGAAGAGATGCATAATTAGGAAAGTGCATCGCATATGCTCTAATAAATGACGGTAATGAACAGTCAAGATTTGCAAACAACTTGCAGAGAAGAGAAGGAACATGTAAAAAAACAAATGCACAAAGAATCGGATCGTCATTTAATCTATTTTTAAACTTACGCATTTACAACTTTACACCAAACATCTATCTATACACATCTATACATGTGAAACAAAAAAAAAACTCCGAATGTATTCTGCATTTTATGACTTTCTGTTCCTTTTTTTCCTCTGATTTTAATAAATATACATACTGCACTTATGCATCTGTTCGATGCTATTCACATTTCCAGATCCAGATGACAAGCGATTTTGATTTGAACATTTCTTCTTCATTATAATAAATCGACTAACAAACAAACACGCGATCAAAAAGATGACTTAAAACGCAAAATGTGTTTTGTTTTTACGTATTCTCTCTTTGAACAGCGGAAAAGAAACGCGCGAGCGACATAAACATGTAAAATGCCATACCAAAATTATCTTTAAACTTCCGAATGAAAATGATAAAAAACGAAATTCGCTGAATTTAGACTGTTTCTAGTTGAAATTATATAGTCTCATAAAACGTTTATCATATATAAAAGTTCGGCTACCAATTAAAGACAGCGAAAACGTATTTATGTTCAAATGCATATACACCAATTTAAAATAACTAATAAGGCATTTATTTGTTTATATTTTAACGCTTTGAAACCAAACTGTTTATCTCTTTTTCATAGAATTCTTTGCAGTTCAATGAGCATAGTGATTTGGCGACGAAATGTATGTCCAAAAGAAGTTATACGACCAACATCTACTTTCAATGTCACGCTACACACATCAATCTATATTATTATTTTTAGCGAAACCAAAATGAAAAACCCAAAAGTGAATAGCTGGAATTCTTGTGAAAAATAGCACAAAAAAAAGAAATTTAAAAATAAACGGTCGAGTATCGTGAATTCGGTGACTAATGATGTAAGCGTGTTAGCGAGCATGACAATCCGTTCGCATGTGTAAACACAATCGTCAATAAGTTTGTTTTGTTCAGTGATTTGCCTGTTCTTAAAAGTTAATGAATTGAAAGAAACATTTTCGAAATTGAAAAGTAAGCTTGTTGATGTTGAAACTCTTGAATTGTCGGAATTTATCCTGTTATTATGTTACACTGGAGACGCATCCAAAAATGCCGAAGTAATAAAGTATTCAAAGTATGAAGTGTGTGTGTGTGAAAAGTAGCTAAGAAAAATGCCAAAAGTGAAAATATGCGTATGAGGTTTCTTTCAAATAAATAAAGTGGATTCCCCGAACACAAAAGGATTCAAATGAACTGTGTCATTGGGATTGAAACGAATCACTCGATAAAAGAGGGGAAAGAGAAGAAAACCACACAATATGCGTAAAGTATTGAGTTTAAAATTTGACGTATGCAATTGTAAAATGTTCTTAGTGCCAAAATCAGAAGCACCAAAAACTCTCAAGACAATTTTATTCGCATAGTGAAAAAAAGAAGAGGAAGGCAAATTTCTATTTAAAAAACACTTTAAAAATACTGTCGTTGACTTTGTGCAAGCGCACACGTGTGCGAATGTGTGTTGTGTATTCAATTCAAAGTTCAGTAAACATTTTTTTTTATCTCTTCTGATTCTTCTGTGAAAACATCGACAGTGCTTGAGTGTAAATCAGGGGATTTTCCAACGCCGCCCACAGATCAATCATTCGAATGTATTGGTTCGCATTGAATGTTTTGTATTGAGTAAATCAGCTGAAAAATCATGTGATAAATTCGTATGTGAATATATACGTTGAATTGAAATGTATAACTGATACATGATATATGAATTGTAAGTGACAAATAAAAAGTGAGTGAGTGAGTGAGAGACATAGACTGAATAGAGATTCTCATTGATGCTCCCGAGGGAAACATTCGATATAATTAACGATGATATTATGTGAAAAGGAATCTAGTGCAAGTGTATTGTCGTCGTTGTGACGACTCAAAAAGAGATGTATCTTAATTGAATGATTTAAGGATAGCGTGCATCCAACAATAACGTGAAAAAGCAAAAAAAAAACAAAAGTTGGAAAAAGAAGAAGCAACGGAAACCACGTCAATATGATATCGTTGAGAGAAATTTGTTGTTTATTCATGGTGATGATTATATTCAGCTGTTCATTTTCAGCGAATGGCATGTTCAATCGCGATGACATAAAAGCAACGGATTTTCTGAATCAGGTCAAAGAAAATCCGTACAAAGTGCGAAAAACAAGAAACACAAATGATAATGAATATTACGACGATGAATTTGTAATGGAGGATATGAAATTGGTGCAACAAGATCAACCAGCATTCGTTCGCCAATCGAAATTGTATGGACAAATGCAAAAGGAGTCACCAGTTTCACAAGAAAATTTTGAATCAAAACGACGTGGAAATGCACTACTCTCAAATTTACAATTTACCAAAGAAGTATGGATAAAACAGGGCCGATTAAAAGGTTTCGTACGAACCATGCACCCACAAACTGGTTTGAAAAATGTACGACAGTATTTGGGCATTCCATATGCAGCCGCTCCAATCGGAAATGCACGATTCATGCCACCAGGTTTGTAATTTTCATTTTTCCATACGAAATTTAACCATTTTACTATCACCAACACACGGACAGAGAAAATATTTCCAAAACAAACAAAAAAATCGAATAGAATGTCCATATACGATAGATGTAAACGAGCATTTTACGTGCCAACAACAAACAAATTAGTAAACAGTTTTGCATTGGGCTTTCGTGCATAAAAACGGAAGCATTACTATTTTTACCATTGATTGGAATGTAGTTCAGTATATCCCTTTCGGCTTGCTGTGCACCACAATGTACACGAGCAAAATTTCAAGAATGCTCCATTTGAGTGTATCAAATAGTGAAAATAGACATGACCGACGAAACATGCATACATGAATAGCAACTGAAAAAAGAATACATGAACATCAAACTGCATTCCACTCACTGGGAGATAGAGAGGGAGAGCGAGAGAATGAGTGCGTCAAATAAGCGACCGTCGAGTAAATGTAAAGTGAATGTGTTTATCAAATAGAAAACCCATTGTTTTGCCCATTTGTACTTTTTATAAACAGTACTGTGAGAGTGTATTGTATATTTATATCGATTGGTCGTCTATCGACAGCTGATGAAATGTGCGAATTATGCACTTTTATTCGTGCGATGCAATCATTCTTGTTTTTCTTTGCGTGCATATTTTCCCATCCGTTTACTATTTTACCAAATGATGAAAGTTTTTCAATTGAATTTCGAGTTTTGTTTGTATGTTTTTTCTTAAAACATGACTACATTAGCTCTGTATTCACTAAGACCGCGGATCGTCGCACTTAATTACGGTTCTGGATGAGTTGCAAAAGAGTTGCTTCTTCGCTTCAGATTCTATTTTTATAGCAATGTTCACACTTCGTAAAATTGCTTATTATTGCTCCTGTTTTAGCTCTTCTTTCGTTTTCTGTATGAAAAAAAAACATGACTATAAATCATGCGGCTTTCATAAATTCAAGACAAAGATGATATAGTTTAAAGATTATGAAATGCAAAAGAATTAATGACTTTAACGAGTTTTGACGTACGCTTTGATTGATCTTTTTTCTGAATTTTATTCTTGGAAAGCCAAGCGTCAACCTTGCCATATTTGAGTATAATTTTTAAATTAAAATAATTTGTTTTAGGTGCGCCACCGCCATGGAATGGCTTGAAAATAGCAGTTGATTTGTCTCCAGTGTGTCCACAAAATCTACCATCGCTGAATAATAGTCAGCAACATTTGACCACGGGCAGATTTAACCATTTGAAACGTTTAATGCGATACTTGCAAAATGAAAGCGAAGGTATACGATTGTAAATTACAAATTTAAAGTTTTTTTTAAATTTTATTTCCTATTTAGATTGTCTCTTTCTAAATCTGTTTGTGCCCGAATGGTGTAAGTATTGATTTTTGGTTGCGGAAATAAAACGAAATATATTACCGGATGATGAGATAAATGTTCATATTTTTAGCTGGCATTGGTCCGAGACCTATTTATCCGGTTATCGTGTTCGTTCATGGTGAATCATATGAATGGAACAGTGGCAACGCCTACGATGGCTCAATCCTTTCAAGTTACGGTCAAGTTATTGTGGTAACATTGAATTATCGCCTCGGCATTTTGGGTAAGTTTTATTTTTATGGAAAGCAGTTTTAATGAATTTGCACGAATTTAAATTGTATGCATAATCCTCTTGATGTACATCGTACAACGAAGTTTTAAGAATTTAATTGTTAATATTATTCAATCATTTCTATGCAAACAAAGTGAAAGACAGATGGAAAACTTTTTCTACGGCATATAACATTTTTAATTAACTTCAATGGGAATTCGATTCAAGTAAAGCTTTATTGGAAAATAGCTTTGTGAAACCACTCGAAAATTGAAGCAAATACAATAGTATAGTTTAACTTTGATTTTATATTCAATAGCAGTGGATGAATATACGGTGATTGAATGTTTTCACCGTGTTGCCGTTGCTTATTTGCATCTATATCTATATTAATCTTGTTATCTGCTGGTGAACAATAACTACCGAACAAAAACTCCATCCCGCCAGATGGAATTGTTATTTTCCATTTGGGTTATTGACTACAAAATTAACCGGATGCGGTACACTTTGAAATGGAATTTCTATTGTATATTCAAGCATACACATCAAACATGGTATTTGGTTGTTCACAAAAGCAGTAAATATGCCGTAATTGAAACATTTTCTTTAATTTAATCGCGTTCACATACCTATTGTGAATTTTACTTCAAACACTACTTTGCTGTCAACCTGGACTGCTTTACTTCGATTGTGAAGCAAACACATTATACGCATCGTTTACTGGTGTTGAAATTTTTGTCGAAGTACCCAAAGCTTTTTTTGTTAGCAATCAATCTTAATTGACAGATGGTTTTGGTTGGCAAAATGAAGTCGACAGCAAGCCTTTTGGCGTCATGAAAAATGAATTTCAATGACTTTTTGACGTCACAAACTTCTAATTGGAATAAATGGATGTAAATTGAAAACTTTACGATTTCCACCATCCCAAGCACTTCAATTCATTTCTCAGTATTACTGACAGTTTAGAAAATAGTTTATAATTCATATCCACCAGAAGACGTCATTGATACGTACAACTTAATTGGAGGCATTCGTATTTCAAATTTACAGAAACGGAAAATCAATGGAAATTTGTTTATTTTTATATTTAATTTGAAATATGAATGCCTAATCGTATATTATAGATCCTTCGAATAAATTTTCAGACGAAAAATAATCATCGAAAACTGAAAAATTGAGTTTAGAAGAATCAACACATTCGACACAGATTTCCTGTGAGTGCACTTTCGAAACTAAAATAATTTAACTTATTATATTTTAGTTTGCAATGTTATTGAAGAAAAAAGCGATTGTTTTGACATGCTCAAAATGAAATCTAAATTTCCATATATTTTATAATCAGAACCTTTTCACGGAATCGATACGAAATTCATCGGTGAACAATTTTTAGATCATGTAAAATAATTCAATGCAAACATTGTTACAAAATAGACAAATATGACGAGCAATATATATTCAATGATGCATGCAAATATAAATAATGCAAAAGGTACATTGTTTAAAGTTTAGTTTGGTGTATACATTTGTTTTCTATTCATATTGTTATTTTATTTTGTGTGCAATTCTAAATTTGGTGGGTACTCACAACAAATTGATTTTTGATTGAAAGAGAAACGAAACTCATACATTGTATATAATCATCTACTGACATGTTTTATTGTATTGCTGATTCCATCCTTCTCTTTTCCACTCTCCATGTGGCTCGGACATGAACAATACAGTAATTATTTATGCAAACGAGCTTAGCTTTGGCCGAAACCAAAATAAATCTCCACTTCAATGTTGCGAGAGTGAGAGTGGGCGCAATTTTAAGTAGAAAAGTAGGATGTTCCCATTCCACTGGATTTATTATTAGCATTAAGAGATGAGCAGCAAAATAAATACCAAATGTGGTTACAATTAACCCATTTCCATGCAAAGCGAAAACTTTTTTTTGTTATTTTTGAAATATGTGATACTATGAAATTTACAAAACTCTTCTCATTCACACTAATATACGTGCATTTGCATTTTACCTGATATGCACACACGGTACGCTACATATTTCCAGTGTTATTTCATGTTCGCCACTTTAAACTGGCCAAAATCTGCAAGCACTTAACTGAAATTACTGTACTGGATAATGTGAAATAGAGTATTGAAATGTATTCACCAACCGAATATAATCGCTCTAAGCTCACTATTAGGTGAAATCGAGATTGATTTGTGGATGTAAATTGCAAACATAAGAATTCTCAACATTTGCCAGTGTTATTGTATTAAACCACTTCAAAGCTTGTGCTTTCATCATTAAAGTGTGCCACTGTGTTGATACAAATAATTTAATCACAACTTTGGAATGGAAGCCTTAAATTGAAATATGCACACCCGCCGGAGAGAATTCATAAAATGAAATAAAGTGTTTTGCATACAAAACTTGGAAAATTCGTTACCCTTTATACGAGTGTAAAGTGTGTACAGTACACTGTGATGCCAAAAATGTATTTATATTCAAACTTTGTTTAGGTTTCCTTCAACCGGGAACAACGGGTCAAACGACAAGCAATTTTGGATTATTGGATCAAATAGCTGCCTTACAATGGGTAAAAGAAAATATTGCCGCATTCGGCGGAGACGTTGGTAAATATTAATTATACAAAGCAAATTCATTTCATTTTCTTCGTCTTCGAGTAGATACGAAATACAACAAATTTTATTAGGATTTAATCGAAACGTATTTCTTTAATTTAATTCAGGATCAGTAACACTTATGGGATCGGGCACGGGTTCTGCTTGTATCAATCTATTGATGTTATCCCCTGTTGCACAAAGTAAACAATTAAATTGTGACATGGATTAAAAGTTGAATGTTAAATTATAATCATTTCCATTAGGTTTATTTCATCGAGCTATTTTAATGTCTGGATCGGCGATGGCTGATTGGGCAATATCAAATCATCCACAACAAGCAACAATGCAAGTGTTACATAAACTGGATTGTCCGATGCGTGACGATAACACAATGTTAACATGTTTACAACAAAAACGGTATCAAGACATTTTGAAAGTTCAAGTGTCATCGCCCGAATTCACAACTACGTTTGGTCCGATTGTTGACAAAACCATTGTTCCAAATGATCCACAGAAAATGATGCAACATCATGAAGGTGGATTTAAAAGGTTTGCACAAATTGGTGTCGGTGACGAATGAAATGAACATTGATAAAATTCAATTTTAAATATTTAATTGGCAGATACGACATTTTATTTGGTGTAACCGAAAATGAATCCTACAACAGCATCAATGCAATCGGCATAATGCATGGATTACTAGAAAGGTATTCAATATATACGCGAATTAACGAAAACATTAATAACTTTTTTAAAACAATAATTTCCAACAGTGAACGTGATGGTTATTTGAGATTTTATATGCAAAATCGTTTCGATCGACCAGATGTTGTAATGGATTTGGCATTGAATACATATAAAGCAAATATTTGCACAAATCCAAAGAATCCAACGCCAGAGGAGAATCGAGATATCGTACTGGAAATATTATCGGATGTAAGATAAGCATCAAATGAATTTTATTTGATTGGATTTCAATGTTTTTGTTGTTGTTGTCTTCTTTGCAGGCACGTTTCGTTGCACCATTGATACAAACAGGCAACTATCATTCCAAGGCCAATCCTCGTACATACATGTACCTTTTTAGTCACATCAGCAAAGCGGGAGATTATCCAAATGTAAGTCAATTAAAAAAAAAAAACTTAAAATTTCGTTACGAACCCATTTATGCCACGCATTCAGAAGCTAAAGAGAAATGTTACCATTATTTATAGTTATCACAAAGCATAGCTGGTGAAGAATTACCATATGTATTTGGTGCTCCACTGGCATCGGCACGTCCATTCCCAACAAGCTATACACCACATGAACGGCTGTTGAGTGAAGAGATTATGGTCTATTGGACGAACTTTGCGAAAACCGGAAATCCAAAGGCACCCGGTCGCGATCATTTTCTAAATTTAGATCCATCAAATTGGGACCAATATGAACTTGATTGGATACCATTTTCAGCGAACAATCCAAGCTATTTAAATATTGGTATACCGCCCGTTGTATCAACCACGTTATATCGTCAACAGTATATGAATTTTTGGAATAATATTTTAAACGATCAAATGAATGGTGATGGAAAATCAATACAAATGCCATCCGAACATTCGACCATTGAAAATACATCATTTATGAAACCATTAATGCCACATGTCAACTATTTGGAAAAGTCCACAATCAATCCGATACGAAAGCTACAGCAACTATTAAACAGCGGACCAAATCGATCTGATATGTATGCAACGCAATCAACCGTTGAACCGCCACAAATTTATGATGCCGTTACAGCGTCTGAAGGAAACACATTTGTGCTTGGCGATAATCAAATTATCGTAAAAGCTGATTCAACATTGAATGTTTTAATTGCAATGGTCATCATTTTTCTGGTCATTAATGTTATAATTATAAGCATTTATTTGGTGCGACGAAATTATTTCAAAAAAAATCTAAAACAAAAGCTCGATATTTTATCGCTGGACGGAACGACAGACGATGATTTGAAACGGTCAAATAAATTCAATGACGGCGATGAGAGTTTCATTTTGGACATTGTACGACGGAAAAATGAATACGTACCCGTTAAACGTTATCATTCCCCCATTAATGGCTTTCTATTGACACGTCATTACAGTACGAGCACCGTTGATACACATACAAAGGTATCCGATTGGATTTCGCACGAAGTCAATCGACAGAGTCCACATTTTCGATCAAAATCACCATCATTTTCATTCGGTACAACGAATCAATTCTTTGGCAAAAAGACAGACGATATTAATGGCATTGATAATGGTGCACAAATTGAACGACAACCCATTGAGTTGATGAAATCAAAATCGTTTGAATTGAATAGAAAGAATGAATTCACATGCCAAGAATTGGATGAACGAATGCCAATGTTTGACAGAGTCATTGCATCGAATGTAGAAAATGCACCAGAAACATCAACATGCGTTCTACAAATTGAACATCGGCACACAAATTCCGATCCGGCTAAAATGGCAAAACCAACAACAACATTTGCACAAAATCCAAATGAAAAAGTGACCAGTTTTATTGAAGATGTTGTTGATGTGAATGTCACATCACGCGATGAATGCGATGGTGCACACTTTCCATTGACACCAGAAGAAACATTACAAATCTATCAAATGCGAAATTATCCAAAAGTTTTACCAAAATATCCATCAAATCAAAACAGTGAATATGTGTCGTCGTCATCATTTAAAAGGCGTAGCATGCCATCGTTTCAGCACATGATAAATACATATGCACGAGCACCGCCGGTTCCACCGCCCCGAACAACATCAACGCTCGATCGAATGATGGCAATGCGTCGGTCGGACAGTAATAAAAGTGAACCATTGGTGCCGGTTATGGCACAACCAATTCCAGAATCACCGGAAGAGCCGGAAACCATTTCAATAGCTGCACTTCATGTTGGACCTTTATTGCCGGGTTCAAAGGAGAATTTATATTCAACAGTGAAACGAAAGAAATTTACTCTTGAAGATAAACAACCATGCATTATTGCCGCTCAAATTGAAACAGAAAGCGAACCAATTCTGCTGAAGCCGTTGACTGAAGAAAAATGCAATGAAATAGTAAAAGACACAGCTACACAACAACCAAAATCAATTATGAAACGTCAGTTTTCACGACAAAGTTCAGCGGATGGTGGTTCAATATCAGGCCAAGTATTACCAACAAAAATTCCCATTTTAAGTCGATTAGGTGCATGCGGAAAGAGTAGCAGTAGTAATAGCTCAAGTAGTTATAGTGATAATAAGTCAAATAGTGATCCGAGTACTGATGATTCGGCCAAGGATTTAATTGCCGAATTAGATCGTTCGGCTGCCTCAATTACATCGTCCGTGGACACATGCTCGAGCGCTGAAACAATTAAGCAAATATTCTAACAGAGAGAAGAAAAAAGAATGAAACACACAGGCTAACTTACTATTAGATTAAATCAATTGAAATCAGTATCACATACGTAATTATAGAATGGATTATAATTGTGCGCATCTTTAGTTTGGGCTCAAGAATTTATGTTTTAATAATTTACTTGAATAACAAAAAATTTCCTTTTGCAATAAATTTTCATTTGGGTTTTGTTTTTTTTCGTCTTCTTCATCTCTTTCGTTCATGTCTGCAAAATAGTTAAAACCGATTATTGCATTGGGTAAGTGGCGAAAGAACGGATATAAAAGTTTCGATTGAATTTAGTAAAGATCATACGTGTGAGGCTGAATATTTCATTAGTAAAGAAATAACACAAAAAAGTAGAGTGCCGCCTGCCGCACTCTGATCACAAATCAACGCCCGTAAACTTAAAATTGGAAAACTTTCTTTTTCAAGATTTATATTTTCAACTTTAATTATACACAATGCGTGTACATTTCAACACGAGCTGTTGTACGATATTTTCCTGTTAACGGTAATATCAAGAGGTTTAGTGTGGTTGTCGCTGTTGCAACCATGACTTTATCCAAAATGTAATTCTCTCACTTTTGTACGGAACATTTTGCGGAATTTTGCTTATTTAATCGGCGTTTTTGGTTGGAAATTTGTTAAACACCCGATTATGAGAATTACGTACCTGAGAAATTTTCTGCACACTTTACACCTGGATACATCGAAACTATTTCCAACACGTAAAGCGCACAAGAACATCGAATAACATATTTATTATATTTGCGACGAACTTTGACCATTTCGAAATAGAAATAATTGTCACAATTTACAAATGGTTGCCACCGTGAAGCGGCACAGTCTTGAATACTGGGATTTTCTCCAATTTTATATTGCTATCGAAGACGAATGAAAATATTGGCGTTCAAAACTTTTTTTTCGCGCAAAATAAAATTAATTGTTTCGGTTTTCGATTTTAGTGAATGGACTCTGAACGTTCAACGAATCGCAATGCAAATCATCCAAAACAAAAGCCGAACGAAAAACAAAAATCATACTAGACACAACCATTACATTACTATTGTTATAGTTCTATTATCAAGAGACTACCGACTTCTCATATATGCATATTCACTACCAAAAACTTTAAAAGTTCTCCGTTGAGAATTTACTGGTGCAGAAATTTATAAGTAAGAGGTAAGTATGACGATTATTATTCATGTAAACCGCGCTCCTCATTCACTCTCTCGTCCTCTTCGTGTTGCTGCTCTACTTTCGCCGAAGTATAAGAATGAAAGAAAAAGTATACTCAAATCGGTTCACGTATTTGTTCCAGACAGAGAACAAAAGAAAGGGAAAGAACAAGGAAAAATTATTCAATAACATTCACAGTTTTTAAATTAAGTTTTTCGATTCGCTAAAAAAGAAGAGAATGTATTCTTACAGTAAGTTTATGTGTTTATAAAGAGCTTTTCAGTTCATTCAAACGGAAAAAAGTAAGTTCGCGAAAACTGAAAGAATGTGGAACGGCGGCATTTTGTTTATAATTTGACTCTTTTTTCAGCATTTACATCAATTTGCATTTAAATCATAAAGTTTGTCAGCTTCAACCTCAGATCCAGAATATTTTCGAAAAATCAGCTTTTTATGGAAAATATTACAATTTCGAAAAAAATGTCAAACTCAATAATAATGAGGTATATTCGTATCTTTTTTTAAATAATGATAAAATACATGATGTAAGGACAAACTGCTCTTATTTTTAAACATGTTTCTAAACGTCTTATATTTGAAACGAGTGTGTTTACAGAATTTTAATAACTCAATTCTTGAAAAAAATGTAAAAATTACTTTTACTGACAATGAGTAAAAAATTCAGTATAGCAACATTTGAGTTGAATAGAAATATCATACTTACTTCCAATATTACATATTGGCGCTTGCAAAGAGAATGATAATAAAAAATAAACCAAAATCAAGGATAACTAATTCAATGCAATAGACATTTCAAAAAAATGTGTCGGAATAAAAACTCAACTTCGAATTTCACTCCCCTGAAGGATTTTCCATAAGTGTGAGCAGAAGGTGAGATATGAAGATGAGTTTTTATTCTGACACATTCAAATGTGAATGATAAAGATTTACAAGAGATTCAGCAACCAATCGATATTTTTGGCGATGGAAAATAAATTAAGAAATGAAGATCAAGAAAAGTCATATTTAGATGAATCAATATCGTAAAGTATTTGTAAAAATGAAAACCCTTATCATTGTGAACATATTAAGGTATTAAGTATATCCGAAAACAGTTTTTTTAAATCAATAATGCTGGTTGTTTTTTCTAATAATCGGTTTAATACATTTTTTCAGGTGAGCAAATAGATCTGAAAATTATTATTTGTAATATGCATACATCATGAACCACGAACAATTTTACTCTAATTGAAAAGTTCTTCTTTCGATGAAGTCAAGGTAGCAGTAATTCCAGTTCGTTTTCCATCGTGAATGTTGAACGTTCGATGTGGATTGTTCACGCTGTTTGTCGGAAGTGGATGTGAAGAGTTGATTGTGTGATCAATATGTCCTGTGGTCCGTCTATGTTGTTGTAATAAGCTATTGGTAATGAAACGCATGCCACATTCACAAATAAATGGTCGATCGCCTTGATGAAATTAAAAATGTTATAGTTAGATCTGTAGTTTTGGATGCTCTAAACGTCAATTTAGTTTCCAAATGAATTTCTTTATAGCTTTTATTTACACCTAACGTGTATGGCTCTTTAACATACAAAAGCTCTGAATAAGAACGATTTTCAGACTTTTTTATAATTTTATAAAAGTATGTCTCACCAGTATGTCGCCGCACATGCAATGTTAGGTCGTTTGATTGCGTAAATGCCCGTTCACAGTGAGGACACTTGGAAAATAAATTAGAAATAATCATAGTAAATAGATTAATATTAAATTTTTATCTGGTCCAGACTTTTATTCGAAGCAATTAACTTGAAACAATGTCAATCCTTATGTCTATTCGGACATGGTTTGACAACTCTATCGACTGATGAAGCAAAAAAATTTGGGCAAATAAAAAAGAAACAATATCTGAAAGTCTTTTAATTGCTTAAATCAATCATACCTTGTATGGCCGTTCACCAGTATGGGTCCTGATTGAAAAAAATATATGTAAACAAATAAGTAAAAAAGAATAATTGTTTTTCAACTATCTACCTCATATGGCGAACTAATTTATTCGATCTTGTGAATCCTTTGCCACAAATATTACACACACACGTTTTTTCACCGGTATGCGTGCGCCGATCTAAAAAAAAGTAGACGAATTAGACCCTTTGAACTTAAAACTAGCTATACACTTTTGTAAATCCTTACGACATTGCAAATCCGATGATCGGGGGAATCGAGCCTTACAAGATTCAAAATCACAAATGAATGGTCTGTTGAAAAAAAAGAAGATTTTCGTAGATTTTTTTTTTCGAAAATATGAAAAATACAACTTTTTGAATGATTTTACCGTTCGCCAGTATGCCGTCGAATATGCACTGTTAAATTGCTTGAATTCGAAAAGCTTCTGCCACAGTATGAACAAAGATGTCTCTTATTTTTAACTTCACGTTTTTCTGGTGGTATGTGCACACGCTTATGGGATCTGTATGAATAGAATTTATATAAAATGTGTGTTCTACATCATACTGTCGAAAGCTATACTCACTTGAGATTGTCGGCTCGTCTGAATGCTTTATTACATACATCGCAAATGAACGTTTTTTCACGTGTCAAATGAAGTTTTGTGTGCGCTTCCAATTGTTCTAATTTATAAAATGATTTTGTGCATTGATCACAATTATAGGACTTTGAATTGGTCTGATATTCACTGAAATGTTTTGTTTCCTTTTCGTGGTAAATTGCTACATGTTTTTCCAAACTGGACTCCCAGAAGAATCGTGAATTGCACATGTTGCATATAATATGTTTATGTTCATTTTCACACTGTTGACGCTTATGCTTTGATAATAATGCTGTGTTCGGAAAGCATTGCATGCAATGCATACATTTTATATCTTGAAATTCATGAACAGCGTGATCAATTTTCATATGGCAAACTATTTTGTATACTCGATCGAATGTTTTCTGACATTTCTCACACTTGTGCATATTTTGCACACCATCAATTTGTTCATCTTCATTTTCGGTTTCGGAATCTGTTAATGACAATTCCCAGCCACAGTCATTATTAATGCGATAGACATTTGAAATTTCTTCGAATTTTGATTGCATTTCATGTTGGCTGGTATAATCGATAGCGCTAATGTCATGTTCATTTAAATGTCTTTTTAAATCATAAATTTTTTCAAATTGCAAATTGCACACCATACATTGACACATTTTGTGGCCATTTGGTTGAGTCCACGATGTTAAATTGGTTTTATTCGTCTGATTTTGTCCGGTTTTCTTATGCACGGTAGCTGTATGAAGTTTACGATCTTGATATGTCTCAAATGTAGCGTCACAGTATCGACATGGTTGTTTTTTGGGTATGTGTGTGTTCATGTGCCTTTTCAAATGGCTTTTCTTGGAAAAACCTTGGTTGCATGTGTCACATTTCAGCAAATGCTTTCCAATATGGAGTCTGATATGATATTTCAAAGTTGTTCGATTCGCTAGAGTTTTCTTACAAAATACGCATTCATATCGTCCATTCACAATATTTGATTGATTCACAAGATCTTTATCCTCATCGTCATCATTGTTAGCATCGACTTTGCTATTATCATCACGTTTCTTCATGGGCGATTCTCTTTTTTCCGCTGAATTATGTGCAGTTTCGTCCGTTTCATGGTGGTTTTTTAAATGAATTTTTCTCTCGTTATAGGTTTTGAAAATAATGTCACATCGATTGCATGAAAATTCATCTCCATGACAAGTCATATGCTCCTGCAGCTCAATGTCACTTTCAAAACCACCGCGGTTACAAATTTCACATCGAATAAAAACTTTCGAAATGATATGTGTTCGAATATGAATGCGAAACGATTGCCGGTCAATTAATGTTTTATTACAATAAGAACTGAAAATAGAACAATACAAATTGCAATTAGAATCTAGTTCATTAAGCCTGTATAATTATTGATCTCACCAAATAAATCTTCCATCCAAGCATGTTGCGTTCTTAATAAACCTGTCCTCTTCATCACTATCGATTTTTCGGTGAAGAAGTATATGCCTGTTTAAGTTCGAACCCTTTGCAAATCCACGATTACAATATTTACAATGCAAAAGATTTTTACCAACGTGCCCCCGAATATGAAGTTTTAAAATTTTACGATGCGACAATGTTTTAAAGCAAATTGGACATTGTAATCGGCCATTTATTTCTTTTGCAGAATTTATCAATTGTAGCTCTTCATCATCAATCGATGCTGTATTAATTGATTTTGTTGAGTTGGAATTATTATCGACCGTAGTTTTTGTTGTGTTCTCACCTCGTTCATCCTCATTGAATTCTTCAAGTACAGTTTTTGATGTACATACTTGCGTATTCCTTGGTTTTGCAATATTGGTTTTTCGCAAAACTTTATTTTTCGTTGATTTTTCATGTGTTGCCTTATGACGATCCAGATGGTTTTGTTTGGCAAATCCACGATCACATATGTTACAGTGTTTCAAATTTTTTCCCAAGTGAAGTCTGATGTGTAGTAAAAATGTTCTTCGATCGGCCAGCGATTTGTCGCAAAGTTCACATTGATATCTGTTATTAATCCGTTGAGCACGATTAACCAGTTGAAAATCTTCATCCAATTCATGTGTTTCTTTTGATTTTTGACATGATTTCTGTGACTCATCGCTGGAGGTCCCTTCACCTCCAGTATCTTCATGAATATCATCATTACAATTGAAATTGTCGTCGTCATCGTTATCGTTATCGTGATCAACATTCTCGTCAAATAAATCATCTTGTATACAGGACACTTGGACCAATTCAGGAACTATAACCGTTTCTTCAGCGTCGTTTTCAGTTTTTACAATTCTATCCCCATGGATTATAAGTTTCATGAGATTGTCATTGCTGTCAATGCACATATTCTTGAAATGGAATGATTCTTGCGCTTTATTTGTGCAATTTGAACAAATTGTTTGTGGCAATGCATCGTCAGGTAGTATCTATTAAACAAGAGGAATAGATGTTTATAATGGATGTGGAGCATGACAAAAGAAAATAAACCATTACATTGATAGCTGTACACTCTACTAGAATTTCGGCTATTGTTAAATTTTCCGATTCTAGTTGTTGTTTAATACTAAGCATTTGACTGTGGTCGAATTGAGCAAGGCATGTTCGACACGTTTGAATATCTGTTCCAAACATTGTGTTTAAAACAAAATATATAAACTATTTTTATTACTAATTCACTCATAGACACTGAAATGTCACGCACAATTTGTGAAATGTCAAAACATTGGAAATGTCAAAATAGTGGAAATGTCAGACAGAATATGTCTACTATGTTTTTTTAGCACAACTCAGTAATTTAAAAAAAATTATTGGAAGAAATACGTTGAAATAATCTTCATTTTTCTGCTGTTGCCAAAATTTTCTTCAATAGAGATTTTTCATCTGTATATAACGAAAATTGTTATATGCAGATTAACATTTGGTGAAGATATAGTTGAATCTTGTGAAATTTTATCGAATTTCAAAACAGAAAAATTGGCAATATCTCTATTGTCGTTATTTTTTTTTTTTAATTCCAAATCAACTTATTTCCAGAAATATTATTCAACGTCAAAATCGGTGAAATTATTTTCACGATTTTAAGTCATGCTTTGCATTTAGATCCTTTTAATATTAATTTCTGCAAAGTTATAGAATATCTATTGGTATAGATCAAATACAATAAAGAAATTCGTATTTTTCTCAACAACATCGTATGCATCGATCTATATGCACAATATTCGTGCTTAATCGGTAGATAATATAATCGGCAGGGTTTTCTTTTATTAGTAGAATTAGAATAGTTTTTTTGTTGGCATTATCTGTTTATACTCGGTCCGTCATTGCTTCTGTCGCATAATCTTTGACCAAATGCATTCCGATCAAAATAGTTTGAATTATTTTGCTAAAATTTAGTGTTTACGTTCATTTCGTTATAGTGCATTTCATACAGTCTTACATCGAAACGCTACGCTTAAGTATTCAATTTAGCAATAAAAATGTGGTGTTTTCAGTTGTTATTTCTTATTTCATTATACATTTCGATTAAATCTCTTAATATAAATTCAATTAACAAAAAAATCACGCATGCAGGGGAACTGAGTGATAAAGAACTAGATACGAATTTAGCTGACGATCAATTGATGTTTGCAAATGTGGTACTTTAAAAAAACGCATAGAACCAAAAATAACTCTCGTAATTTAAGTATTTGTTCATTCCGATAGGATATAATCAAAAATATTTTTGTTTTCTTTAAAATTCACAGATCTATCGGCATGGATTGCGAAACATCAACCTCGCTTGTCCCAACGATCCGTACAATGACCATTTTCCGGATGAATTTGATGAATTGACAAATGTAAATTGCAACGAAACACCGTTCACTTTCTCTCAATTGCATAAGATATTTTGATTTTCAGGAAGGCAAAAGACAAATGTATGAGTTGGGCCAATATTTTCGAAGGCGATACGATAAACTGTTGGGTGAAAAATATTCAACAAATAAAGTTTACGTTAGAACTTTGCTAGAACGATATCATCAGTACTCTCAAGCTTGGCTGGCACATTTCCACCGACCGCCGACGAAACATGGAACGAATGTATTCCGTGGCAACCAATTCCGATGCATACAGTGCCGATAGATTCTGTTTTTCTTTTGCGTAGATTGTCTATATGCAAATTATTATTAAATTATTTAAACCATTAATTTTTCAAATTTTTGAACATTTTGCACAGAAAATCAACAAAACACTAAATCCAGATCTTAATCTTATTTTTCATTCAGCACACGATTACATTATATCAAATTTGATGAATGCACTTGGCATTTTGCAGGTATTTAAACATTCTGTTTATCAAAATAACAGATTTCGTTGTAATAACAGTTGTTGCAGCAATACTTTCCATCTTATGCGTCCAGTGTACACTTTGAGCTGTATCAAACAAAGTAAAATAAGCATTATTTACAGATTTTCTACAATGAGTCTGAAAACGGAATTTCGGGACCTTTGATTATACTAAATTGCGGAGAGAAGTGCACATTGGATCAATTATATAAATTGTATAGCAATATTATTCCCAGCAAATTGGAGTCCAGATGTTCATAATATATACATCATGCGATAAGAGATCTCTTGATTTAAGGAATTCTCTCAAATTAAAAAACCAAGTATTAACAATATACATGTTCATTTCTAATGAAAAAAATTAATATTATTTGAAGAAAATACGTAAAAAATTAAACTTCCTCAATTTTCGCATAGGAAAAATGGACCTTTGGTTTATTAATTCTAGTCTTCTTTGATAATTTACAATTTCAATTTTGATAATTTACAATTTATTCAAAAAAAAAATTATTATCTATAATATTGTTTCTACACACACTTTCTTGGCACAGTGCTGGACAGTACCTTACAAATTTTTTAATTAACTTAAATTTTTCGCTTGTTCATCAAACAGGAGAAATTAGTCCGGAAAAATGAGTTCGCAACATGATTCTGAGTAATTGCTATCGCTATTATTTCTGTATGTTGAATCACTTTGATTATAAAGAATAGAGGTTCTGTCTTTGTGGCGTGCGCTTGATGTATCGCTGATATTCTTCCCATTTGGTCTAAATATTTTTGAGTTGACCGTGCTGTGCTCTCGAGACGATAAGGATCGTTTTCTGCTCACTGTTTTGGATTTTAATTCCAAGCAATCGGATTCATCATCACTAATTACAATACAGTCATCACTACCGCCAAGAATCTCAATCTTTACAACGTTATCAGTTACTCTATAAAGTAAAAATAAAATTTAACATTCAAAAGAAGACATTTGTTTCGCTCAGTATTCTTACTTGACATCAATTTTCTTTTCAGTCGATAATGATTCGTTGTCCTCTTCTAATGTAGACGGATTAAGAAATGAACGATTTGTGCGGTGCTTATCTGGTGGTCTAGCTGCTCGTGTTATATCGTTTATCGTTACTTCAAGAAATTCGCGTGAGATATCGTTATTGACAATGCGACAGTCTGTATTCAAGATTTCTTCTGGAATTTTCAACATAGAATCATCACCCACTTCATCAGTTATGTTTGGATGTACACGTTTAGGCTCTATCATTTGAAGCAGATTGGCCAAAGTATATGAGCCAGCATGTGAAAAATGTGTGATCTAAAGCAGAAATTTTCATTATTTTTCCTCGCAGAATTTTTACATTCAAATTACATTAACTCACATAAATCAAACCGTCATGCTTCTGATCAGCATCGCTATCGTTACGCGCAATTAATCGAATGTTGATAATTTTTTTCCTCTGGTATAATCTACGGATAGAGATAAATATGAATGTCAATCGAAAAAGAACTATAAATCAAATACACTTACGTTTTGTACGTATCCAAACTAAGTGCTTGATAATTTTGAATATAAATTTTTGGCTGGCCATCAAATTTGAATTCATTGTTGACATCTTTAATATGCGAAAGTGCTTCTGAGTTATATTTGAATAAATGCTTATGCTTAGTTCGATGAATGAATAATTGTTGCAGTCCATTCAATCTGACATCGATTTGATATCGAGCAGCCAATTCTACCAACACATCCAATGATTCAAGTGGTTCCGTTTGAAGAATAACTCTGCAATCCGGGTATTCACTGTTGAGTAGTACAAATTTCTAATATGTCCATATATTTTAATGGTAAAACAAACTTACTCAATGACATTTTTGATGTCTTCGCATGTACGATAGTTTTGTCCAATATCTTCGTGCAGTGACCCGCTCATTGTGTTGTCGAGGTATATGTCTGAGATTTTCGTCTTTTTTCTTGCAATTGTGCTCGATAGTAATACATTTCGACAATCGGTGAATTGGCCAGTGTACAAAGTGAGCTGATTAGGTTTTTCTGTAATGATTTTCATTTAAAAAAAATAATACTTTTTTTACAAGTTGAACTAATAATAAATGAATTAATTTACCATCTGTATGCAACAAAATCATCACGGAGTCAAGAGCGTTACCAGTAGGAAGACATGTTATTGTAAATGATTTTTTCAATCCATTGATAATCGTATCATCTATTCGCATCCATTGGTTTTCTTCTGGCTGCAGTCGAAAAAGATCAAACGGCATTTTCTTAACGATACAAGAGATTCATTTTAAATTTGATCAAATTGAAATAATAAAAAAGTGCTTGTAAAATTACAAATTTCAATCAAAGTATGTTCTTTTTTTACCTTCGGAAATGAACCAAGAAAACAATATGTTGTTTCGTTGCAAAAAAATAAAACATTCCCCACATACTGCGAACAGTCTGGGATTGGATACTGTGCTTGGGTGAAAATACATATCTTTGTACTCTGCAAATAGAAAAATTGACATTGTAAACAAATATTTACACACGTACAAACAATCTTGCGTCACACTACAGTTACTTACATTATCCGATGGGAATTCGTCAAATAAAACTTCTGGCAATTCCGGAATTTTCATAATTATTTATATTACAAACATTGAATTTACAGAAACACAAATTAACACATCTTTCACTATTCAAAACAAAACAATCGGACTGACTAAAGACGTTTTACTGTCGATTTGAATGTTGATTGATTTAAAGTGTCAAATGTGTAAGCTTATCTCGTTCAACACTTGATGGCGCTTTTATACACTTAAGAGATAATTTTGTACTGTAGACGAATTCAACAAGTTTCAATGATTATATCATAATTTTATTTGCATTGTTACAACCATTTCTGTAAAAAAATCGAATAAATTAAAAAAAAAAATCGAAATAAAAAAAATGTATTTTTTTCGTGCCCAGAACAAAATACAAACGTGATAAATAAATGCCAACGTTCAAAAGAAAGTAAACGTTTGTTGTTTGTTTCAGTGGCTCCATCTCAGTTGGCAGTTGTACACGGATGATAAATCATGTAACCAAACTGCATTTGTATTGGCACGCATACAATGATGGGGGCGCGATACCATGATATTCACAATTCACATTGAAATGGAATAGTTTGCGTAGCTGAACTGAGACGACAGTCATATTTTTCCTCTTTAACTTGCGAGTAGCACAATTACTTGTGTGTGTTTGGTGCGTTCGGATTGCAATTGAATCGAGTGTACAAATATAAAAAAAATCATCATCATCATCGTCATTTCCAAAATCAAACAGAAAACGGAAAATTATTAGTTTTGTCATAGTGGTTTATAGTGAGTTAAAGGTGTGAAAAGATGGCGAGTCCTGGGATTACGGATAATAAATCAATAATCAAACAGCAAAATTCAATGGGTAAGTGTTGAATCAGAGCCGATGGTGTGTGACACAACATATAATACGCGAGACACGAAAAAAAAAACTCTTGCTTCTGACTTTTTACTGTCGTTTCTTTCTTCACAACTACGAACAACTCTCTCAATGCAATCGTTACACGGAATATGAAAACAACGAATAAAAAGAAATTAAAAACGCAAATTCGTCGACTGAGAAAAATCAATGTTCTTTGAGATTACAAGAAAATGCTACGCAAACGAAAATTTTATTATACTAACTCATACAAAGGAATTAAAATGAGAGACAATGTGCAAAGTGCTGTATATTGAACGAATCGAAATGTAGAGAAAAAACACACACACCCAAAAATGACGTGTTAAAATTTTTGTTATTTTTTTTTCTGCGCTCGTATCGTGTATCATACTTTTGATGTGGTGTTTTAATATGCGTCGACGACGACTTTTATGGTATTTTCCACAAACGAAAAATCTTCTTATGTTTTCTAATTCGTACGCCTCTTTTTCCTCCACTTCCATTACTTAACATTAACAACCTTGACAATTACGTTACGACGTTTTATTTTTCCTCTCATTCGCATCAACTATTGTTCTAATTTTCCATGCACAAAGCGAACGTTCTGTGTTATTTCCAACTGGATAAAAGTAGACCACAAGCGAGAGCAGCAGGGGACAATTCAATTGAAAAAAAAAGTGCAATGAAGAAAAAATGATGCAAATTTTACGATAGTCATATGAAATTCTGGAAAAACAAACGAGAAATGAATATTTTAAACAAAATAATAGGAGAAAAAAGCAAAGAAAGAGAGACAAAGAGAGAGAATCGTTCGATTAAAGTGGCATTGTGTAAGCTCGTGCTAGACATACTGGAGATGTTTTTGTGAATGTTTTTGGTCAAGTGATTGTGTGTGTGTTTTTTTAGCGAAGTGACGATGGTTAACGACGACCGTCAATGAAAAAAACATAGGTTTGAACCGAAAAAAAAAACAGAAAAATAAGTAACTAAAAATGAACAAGTAACAACGATGAACAAGAAAAAAAAAACATGGAGAAAAGGTCTATAAAAACACAACCAAAATCGCTGCTGTTTTTTTTTTGTCTACTTTAGCTTGCATTGTTGCGATATTACATTGACATCGTCGCGCAATATAAACTGAGAGGAATGTGGAAAAATTTGTGAATGCTTTCGCGCATTTCGTTTCTGGTTTTTCTATTTTCGGTTCGATTTTATTTCATCATTTTCTTTGTTGTGTTCAAGAGACTGAAGTAACGTGAATCTAGCGACGAAATTGGCTAATCGCTCGAAAATGACACAGTGAAAATCAATGAAAAGAGAAACAAAAATTCAACTACATGATATTATTACTGTTATTATAACTGCGGCAGCGGCTACGATTTTATGTATTTACCAAACACATTTCAGTCCAATCGAATCTATGACCTGAAAACCACCAACAATGGCATTTTCTACATGGACATTTTTGCCAAGCAAAATACCAAAGGCCATATATATATTTTTATTTAAACGACATTATATGTGTGCAAAAAAAAATTTAAATCGACTAGAAAACAGAAGTGTGGCTCAGTACGGTACGATACCAAATGGTATGTGTGTGTGAGTGTGCGTTCTTGAAGGTAAAACATGTAGTCGAAATAATTGAAAATATGAAGAAACAAAAAACATACACACACAAACCAGAAAGAAGAAACAGTCTGTGGTTACGTGGTTCGGTGCTTTGGCGCACAATTTTATTGCACCTGCAATTTCCAATTATTTGTCTATTTTACATATATTAAAATTATGTGTTTGATAGAGTTCTCGTTCGACCCAAGCTATGCTCCCACTTATACATAATGTATATTTGCATGCCATGGCATGCTGATACGGTCGACAGTAGTGCGCAACAGACAACAACAACAACAAAACTGTGTTAAATGTGTGTTTTGATTACCTCTCCTCGGCTTTTCAATCGAAAAAAAACGGGGTCTTTCGATTGCTTTATGCATTGTGCGCGTCATTTGTTCAATGTTCATTTCATTCAAGCTGAAACGATCAAACGATATTACACACAATACGATTGAGAATCACATTTTCAAATGCCATTTTTGTTCATTGTTTGCGCACTTTTTTCCATTTAATTTGCGCAAAAATGTCGAGATAAAAACAGTTGCGTGAGAATATAATTGTGATGCGACATTGTTGAGGTCATCGTTTCAAGTGTGCGTTCCTGTATTTACTTCATATTCCAAATAGTTGTGCGATATATGGCGCTCGTCGTGCATGATATTTAAAAAAGACACCACACACACACACAATTACCGCACTACTTTCTCAATTACTCATATCTACACATATCTATGGCATTCGTCATCAACAGTCGACTACGAAATTCCATTCTTTCGACTCAATTTATTGTGGTTATTATTTGACGACGTAACGCAACTGTATACATATTCTATCGAAAAAATAAACGCATTTTCAGTTGCTCAAAAAGCGATTTTGTTTTCTGTGCCGATGCGAGACCGAATGCAACAAAAGAATAAGCACACATTTGAATGCATACACATGTACGCTGCTTCCTACGATTTTCATTCAAAAATCATGATATATGCAGACTCTGAAATGCGAGCGAACGAATGAACAAGCGCTCGCACGAGAGCAGCCACGCACACACATGAAGCTCATAAACGAAAAAAAAGATAAACGCAGTAAATAATATCGACAAATTAAAATAAATTGCTTTGTTAACTGCACTTTTCTACTTACCGCCTCTCTCTCTCTCTCTCTCTCTCTCTCTCACTCTCTCTTTGTGCAGTTCGGCTTGTACATTGCTTGATAGTACGATTTTTGTTGTTGTTGCATTCGGTTCCTTATTTTTATAACGCCTCTATTATAAATTGTATACGAGATTTAATTGAACATATTTATCGAAATCGTGATTTTGTTGGCGATTTAAAATTCGCTGCACCGATGCATCAAACGAATGTAGATTCACAGTTGTATCACACAGCAAAAAAACGATTTCTCTCGAAAAGTACAAAGTATGCGACTTAACGTGAGGTTATTCGATTTTAAACTCAAAATAGCTAAAATTACGTTGCAAATACAAAAAAATCATCGTTTTTTTCTTCTTTCAATGTGTTAAATTCAAGTAGTTTTATGTCTCCAATGCAGTTTGACTTACCATATAGCACTTGGGAAAATGTGCACACACAGCTTCAAAGAAACACTTCATACGCAATGCAGTCAAACATTCGACCCTTCTTTCATACATAAATATATTTACTACTTCGATGTGCCATTAAAATGCGGGACAATTTCCCATCAATTGACTTGGTTTTCTTTTATTTCTTTGCATTTCCTCTAATCAAATGACTGCAATGTCATTTAGCTGTTTGACAAAAAGGAGCTGATTCATTTTTTACGATGATTTCTATGAATATTGCGCTACTTTATTAGACGATGACTTGTTTTTTTATTATAGAACCATACGCCAGCACACATTACTCATTCGTTTGCCTTAAATTGATCTCAAGTTGATAAGTGTGGAATCTTTGTAATGTCTGTGATTCAAACATTTACAAGTGAATAGCGACGTACTCATCGTATTAAAGAATTATTTTCGTTGCGGTTTTTTGTGTTTTCATAATTTTTAACAAAGAAAAAAGTTCCAAGCAAATGAATGGTCAATGTATCGATAAATATTTTTCTTTCGATGTATGTTATTTGTCCAAAATCCGCAAAAAAAAAGATAGTAAACAACTTTGACTCTCACCGCTCAATTCGTGTGTGAAAGTACAACGGCCATGCTACGGTAAATTTCAAAGTTCACACATTACAATAAAGTCGAGATACATACATGCATTATATCTGTTTTGTATCAGCCGATCTGTACTTTTGTGTATCGTAATATCTAGAAGAGGATTAGAAATGTATGTATACAATGTGCGCGTCGACGTGCGAACATTTGGTCACAGTGTTGGTTTGTCACACATTATTTATGCATCGCATTTCTGTATTTTATACATCTAATCTCCAAGTGAATCTGCAGTGCAAATTTACGTTTTGCTCAAACTACGAGATGACCTTCTTCAATTGGATCATTTGCCAGCATATTGTTTTGACACATGAAAAAATAAAGATTGTTCATACGACACACACAGATAACAGTGATAACACAGTATCAGCAAATCAAATAGAAACGAAATAAAAACTGTGCAGAAATAATAAATGATAAAAATATATATATATATATATATCGGTGTGTAAATTTGTGTGAAACAGATGTGTCAGCACTATTGTTTGCAAATGAAACAACATTCACGTTTACACATTATCCGCGCGACAAATATGGTTCATAAAAAGGCGGTCATTTGTCGTTTGTAGAACGTAAAAAAACAACAACAACGCTCTCTTTCTCAATGTCTCTGTTTCTCTCTCGCTCTCTCTCTCGCGCTTTGCACACATGACATTTACTAACAATAAAGTTAAACACGATAGAAAAAACACAACAACATCGCACACGAATTATTGATTTTCGCTGCTTATTTTTGTATGATGTGACACAAAGGATAAGCTGATATAGAGCCAGTTGCTTGTTTTAACCTATAGAAAGAGAGAAATTGTCGTGAATATATGTTTTATTCATCTATCTCTGTCGATCGTGTGCCACTATGTATCGGTGATACAATCGATTTTTTTTGTTCCATTCTATTGCGTGCGCCTTTTTCAAGCGCACTTATCAAACGATTTTGTTGCTACTTTTTTGGGTCATTTACAGAAAGTATTTATTGTTTTCTATGTGATCGGGATTACTATTAATTTTTCCGAACGAAAACAAAACCGATTTTTTTAGCGTCGCTTTGGATGAAAAGAAATTAAATCGCAGTTAAATTACACGCGCTCTTTATGGTATCTTAATCAGTCAATGACTTAATGTTCAAATTTATCGAAACGAAAAATTCACCGGAAAAAATGGACGTTCACACAGTAGACATTGT